TCACTATGCTTAGCAGTAGCATGATAATGATAAAAGTGACAATAAGAATCATTTATTAAACGCTGCTCTTGAAAACATTCCCATTAGCAATGTGATTCTTCAGGACACCAGTTACATAATAAAGAGTGATTTGTAAAACTAAACTGTTCCTAGTAAGTGCATTTAATCATATTTGCATATTTATTGATGCTTTCATTAAGCAAGCGGTGGAGTAAACTCAATCTTGATATAAGGACAGTTTTGGGGACTTTCAACAAATTGGAATTCATTGTGACAACAAAAAAATGTAATTCTCATAAGAAATGTATCACGAATTAAGGTTTTTTTTTAAAAGCAACTTGACATGATAACGGGATGCTACTGTCACATAACCAACACACCACTCTCCAGAAACGCATGAAGTCAACAACAAAATGAAAACAAACATTGGTTATTAGTACAGGCCCAAGAACAATACTTTTATGCAAAAAATAATAAAAAGAACTAAAAAAAATTATCTGATACAGATATTTATGTCGACATATTGTGCATCGCTGGTTCAAAAGATGCCTTTACAGCATTTATCGTATCAGTTATCATAAATTTCTTGAAATAATTGCGATTTATTATTTTTAAAAAAGATCAATTTAATGAAGCTAAAAACCCCCAAACTGTCCATATTGTTGGGAATTTTAGTCTGTTTTTCCCACTGGTTCTTCAATAAAAGCACCAAGAAGTTTAAAAATCTTGTTCACTACAGTTATAATTCACAGTTTAATAATTTAGATCAAACTTCTTTATGTGACTGGTGTCCAACAGAAGCGTCTCACAAAAAAGAATGTTTTTCAAGAGCTGTATTTGTGTTTGCTGTAACTGATTAATTGAATTGTTCTTATAGTCATTTTGATTCTCATCACAGTAGTGCAAAATATTATGATAAAACTTTAAGTATACATTCCCCACCTCTATTTTACAGAAACAAACATCTATTTGGATCAGTAACCTGAAACAGAGAATTTCTCTAAAGGTTTTATGCAGAAAGGGCTAAAAGCCTGACATCATGTTCGGAGTTATTCATGAACGCTGCTGGACAGACCTGCTCCAGATCTCGCACCATGTCCTCCTGGTTGGATCTGAATATGCGGCTGAAGAGTTTCACTATCTGCTTATCGTTCAGGTTGTAAACACTTTTAACCACGCCTGGCAGCAGCAGTTTCACCGTCAAGTAAAGATCTCCGTAAAATTTATCTGTTATAGAAAATGAAAAAAAAAAAAAAAAACAGACATGGTAAAATCTCAAAATATAAAAAAAACAACAACAAAAAAAAACAAGTAAACTAAAGTTAAGGCCAACCTCCTCCTGTGCCCTTCTTCAGAAACTTCTCTATAATCTGTGTCTTGCTGTTGTAGCTGTTGTTTTCAGCCACCATTGCGCAGAGTTTGCGAAACTCCCTGAAGAGACAGTCTTTGTGCTGGGCGTCGCAGAGCTGAGTGGACAGGGCGCTGCTGGAGCCAGCTTTGGCTGCCGGGGACGTCGACAGTCCGGGGCTGCTGGAGCTGTCTGAGCTGCCCGAGCTGCCAGCCTTCGCAGCTAATGTCAGAATAAAGCAGAGCCATTAAATAAAAAATTAAAAAAATTACAATTTTTACACGTCCTAACTTTGACAAATCTGCCAGTTCTACTCGCTGTATGGTTTTAGCGCTGAAGTTATAAAAGTCAACATATAACAAGCTCAAGCTTTTCTCAACTTATCAATTATTGTAGGGCTGAGCTGGTTATTTAACTGACTACTAACTGGATGGCAAAAGGTGCCAGAGGGCTTTTCATTTTTGTACATAATTTAAACAAGGTGACTAGCTAATACTAATACAGCCACTTGAGGACTTGTGGGTAAAACATATTTGCAGACAATAAAAGTCTGTTTTATTTTAAACACAAAATGCATATTCATTTGACCGGTTTTGGCTTCTGTACTACTCAGAGTATTATTTCAACAAATGGCCTTTTTTGAGTCTCTATAATCCAGTTAACTAATCAGTCTAATTGTACCAAAAGGGGGAAAATAAAAATCACATACAGAAAATACAATCAGTGTTGCCAGATTTTGCAAGAGAAACAAGCAACAAGCTCTATGAAAACAAGCCCCAAAAAAATCTAAACTGGCAACCGCACAAATCCAAACAATTTTACAGTGGTTTTACACTTTTTTGAAGAAAGTCAAACCCAAATAACCATCTTCACATTCAAATGCAGTCCAGGTAAGAGCAGCATTGAAAGTTTAGTTGCATTAATCCAGTGTGAATGTATTTTACCTGTGAAGCCAGAAAACTTCCTCGGAGCATTGACAGAGGGGTCAGCAGGGGGCGCCATGAGCTGACCGGTGGTGTTCAACTTGGCCTGGACTTTCTTTTTAGGACTTGCATTGACTTTGGCCATCAGGTCTACAAAACAAGAGGTTTGACAACAATAGAAGTTAAAAAGATTTTTTTTAAAAAGAGTCAAGCATTAAATAATAGTTTGAGAATGACTTCTACATGCAAGCTTTGTGCTTCTCACATTGCTAATGACTCTTGCTAGTAAGTATTAACAGTTTGCTACTGCTATTCTTAGTCGCTTTGAGTAATAAGACATAGTGAGTGAAAATGTCTGCACATAATTCAAACTTTTCCATTTTGCCTATGTAGAATGAGATTTTCATTAACTTAAGGTCAATGTGCATTTTCTTAGGTGAATAAGACATTTTAAGACCTTAATTTTAGATAAATTAATTGAACACCCTGTTTAGATTTAGATTGAGCAGTAGATGATTTATCGGCTCTCTGCTGCACCTGAAACGTGTTTATTAATGAGCTCTTTGTCCTCATCCTGCAGCTCCTCCCAGCCCTCCAGCTCCGTCAGGTCCTCGATCTTCTTTGTCGTGGCTCTTGCCCTCTCCAGCTTCTCAAATATGCACTTCACGTGATACCACTCTTTCATTTCGCCAGCAGACTCGCTGAAAGGGTTTGGCACAATTTTCCCTATGCGCACGATGCCCTTCTGGATTTTGTCCTTGCATTTCTTGCACCCCGCCGTGCCACGCTTGGCGTATTCCACAAGGAAGCGCTGTTCGGACATATTTGGCCACTCGGAAAAGCACCGCCGAACTGAAGTCCAGGGACTGTGTCTTTTTTGAAGATGGTATTGATGGGCTGCTAGGGGCTTTCGCTGATCAGAAGTAGATGAAATTAGAAATGTTCTGCAAAACGTTGGTTGTTTACAAAGGATTAGTGTCCCAAAAGGTTGTCGGCCCACACAGACAGTCTTCTGAACCAAGAAAACAAGATGCCTCTGCATGTAGTTATGACTGTCGGGAAGTTAGAGCCTAAACCAGAAAAAAACAAATGGTTAAAGAGGTTAATTTTGATCAGTTTCAAAAAACACATGAGTAAGAACCAGATACAAACTGAAAGTAGCTGGAAGAAACAAATGAAAGGTGATCAGAATTAGGAGAAGAGTGTAGCAACTGCAACAAAAAAATAAATATTGTGGTTTATCAACAAGTTGAAAAGAACAAACATCCGATAATCAGAATGACCTTTCGCCCTCAAAGAATGAAAGAAAAATTCAAACTTGTACACTCAATTCAAGTCTTCAAAGGTCATTGAAGTTGTATTGTGTGATATTTCTTTAATAAAAACAGATTCGAATTTTAAAAAAAAATACATTTTAATTTACATTCACTCCCGCTGAGAACAATGTCCCCCTCAAAAAACTCTGTAAGTTTACTATTGTCTGAACACAAAACTGGTTCAACTCTTAAATTTGGATGTCATTTTATTGAAGGATTCAGTGGCCTTTACAAATAACACACAATCCTCTGAAAGCTTTAATAAATAGGAAAAGACTGCCGAGCTCCACAGACGTTGGTCCACACATTTGATAAACTGTTTACAATATCTTTCAACTGATTTGTTTTTTGTTACAAAGATTTAATTTATGAAACTTGGATTTGTTTATTTTTCAACGTTTCGCTGTTTTGACTGAAATCTTAGTATTTCACTTGCACAGAAATTCAGCATCTATGTGGTAATATTAATCTTGCTAGTAATAAGTTTTACACAGACAGTGTAACTATCCAATTTAATGTATGTTTTGGTCACGGTCTTTTATTTTCGAAGCAAAAACTTTAACAACGACAAAAGTAAGATGAATGCTACAAAGACAACTCGAAGTTAGCATTAGTTGCAACCAGTACTGTCTTACACTGGCTACAACTGACGAGACAAAATAAACCAAGCATGACATTGTTGAATAATATCTCAAATGTAGCCAATAATTACACTTGAATGTTTTTACTGTACCGTGTAGAAGACGCATAAAAGGAGATGATGAAGATGAATCTACCTCCTCATTGTTATTTAGCAAACAGCTAACTGCCTCCGTGTCAAACCTACGAGTTGTTAGTACTTCCGGTTTTTATTTACAAAATAAAAGTTTTTCATAAAATTAAAAGAAGACGTCACATATTGCTGTATGTGACATGAGATATGTGTATGTCACAATTATGTTACCTGTACAAAAAAAATTATACAACTGAAAAACCGCGCAGACATTGAGAGTCTCTGTGTTTGAGGCAACACAACGTAACTGCGAGCGACAAGCTGCACTGCAGACCATACACTTGCTGAAATGTGTGGCACAACTGCTGCATATCGCCCTCTGCTGCAGGGGAGAAAACAATGGCTCAATCTGAAACACGGTAAACATTTAAGTAGAAACAAAAGACTGATCGGCCTATGTGAGCAGTTCGATGGATGTCATTTGTTTTTCTCCCTGCAGACATTCTTAATCAGAACTTCACATAACATTACTTAGAAAACACATTTAGCTAAAATTACTGAAAACCTAAATTTACTAGGGTAATTTACGATATAAATACTGCGCTTAAATCGCAGCGCTTATGTTTTCCAAACGTACTTTAGGGGAAAAAGTGATTATTATTGCGTTGCTTTCAAAGAGTCTCGGGAATCAAGAGATGGTAAAACATAAAATTCACTTTAAACTTATCAAATGATGCTACATAAAAGATATAAACTCAACAAAAACAGAAAAAGTCAAACTAAAAACACAGCACAAAAATACACAACCGCCAGCGTCTCCCGTTCCCGGTGACCTTAAGTTTTCCCACGGTAGTTTAACGCAACCACAGCCCCCAGCCATTTGTAAACACGCTAAATGCGTTATCGCTACGTAAATTCCGTACTCCACTCTTGCCTCGATAGTCAACCGTAAATTGTCGAGCGTACGTCGAGGGGGAATCACGAGACCGCGACGCTTCAAAGCGAGGACGCGCGGATCAGATGTCGGCAGGAAGATGTTGACGTTATTCCAAACCTAAAGATGAATATTCGTTTCTCTGACGAGTTGCGGAAATATTAAAGGCGAAGAATGGGAAGCAGTACATGCGTTGTCTCGTATGCTGAAAGCTTGGAGCGCAGACTTTTTTTTCTCGGCGGTGAATTTAGGGGAGACTAGCTGCGTTGCAGCAACCGAGCTAGCGACATCGCAGCCCTTTTTGTGGCCCTCAGCGCTCCCTCCCAGCTACACCTAGCATCCCGTCGCTTGCACAACAAGGGAAAATGGTGAGTGGCGAGCTTTTTATCTAGCGTTTATAACGTGCGACATTGTCTGGAGCCTAGTTTGATTCTTGTAGCTACGCCGATAGCTAGTTTAACCCGACGATTGTTTTGACGAAACTAGCTAAACCTGGTGCTTAATTAATATTTAAACCAGGGCAACAGTGTCATTTTTGTCTTAGCCAATAGATGAGAAGCTCGTGTTCTCTTCTTACCTGTAACAGTAGACAGGCTAATTAATAAGCCTCGCATATTACCTGCTTTCTACATAAACACATCCCCTTGTTTTCAAATGTGAATTAGTATTTACCCCAAAGGGAAATCTCATATCATCCAAGTATATTCAAAAACTGGTTGCGGATGGTGATGCTGTAGCAGTCGGTCTTCCAACGAACCTGAAGAGGCCTCTGACTGACGGCTGTTGCTGTGTGACAGTCTGGTGAATATCTAGCCAGCAGAGTCTCTATTTCACAGAAATATTCATGGTGACGCCATCAGTTGTTGGCAAGGATTGCTAATTCACCTCTTTTGCTTTTGGCGCTCCTCTTTAAGGAGATAATAATGTATTTCCTTATAATATATAATTAATTGAACATAAATGATATTGCTATCATGATGAATTCCAGTTAATGATGTTTAAAACTCCCAAATATGTTACTTTTACTGTTTTTGCCACTCTCTCTTCAATGAAAGCATCAATAAATATTAATACATTTTAAAATCTGCATATTAAATCCAGTTACAAATTGGAATGTTTTCCAAGAGCAGTGTTTGTGTTTGTGGGGCTGTTACTGCTGTAACACACAGTCACAGTTACCTAAATAAAAATAAAAGCAATAAACAGTTCTTATCTTCACTTCAATGTCTTGATTGAACAATTTGATTAGTACTCTGATGAAATGACACATCTATGAAAGCAAATGGGTTCACTAGATTTCATTCAGTGGAATAAATGTAAATATTAAAAAGATGAAATTAAATATCAGTTGTTAGTATCTGCTCAGTTTTACTTATCGGACCAATACCGATATGTTAAATTTGTCCCAATAACAAATTTTGCTGGATGATAAATTGTCCCAGAAATGTTTGCGGTAAATGTTAATATTGTCATATTGAGACCATTTCCAACTAGTATAACAGTAGTTATATTAGCATTTCCATTCAAAGATCAATGAAACTTAAATTTCTAAAGAATATTTAACACTGGACCTGGGGAAACATTTTAAATATCCAAAATTTTAAAACAATAATTAAAACAGGTCATGAAGTCTCTGTAGCTAATATTGCATTTAAAAAAATATTAACATTTTCAGGTTAAAACAGCTTTGACTTCATAATTTTCCGCTACTTTGTTTTGCTGTATAAACATAAAATCCCAATCAAATACATTAAAGTTTGAGGTCATAGTTTGACATGTGGAAATGTTCAAGAGGGTGTGAATACTTTGTAAAGCACTTTCCATGAGTTATGGCTTCATTTAAAGGTTTTGTTCCTGATCTATGCTCTGTCTAAACGGCTTTTCCAACCAGCTGCTGATAAGTGTGTGCAGCAGTGAATGGAGCTGCTGGTTTTGTTCTCTCCTGTGTTTGTGTATGCCATGCTTTGCTTCTCTGTTACCCTGGAGATACCAGTCCTGTCATCATTATTGTGAAATATGAGCCTCATATAAACATGGGCATTAACTTGCATTTGTTGCTCAGGTCTGTAAATCAAATGTTAATCCTGGTTTTAACTGGGGCAGTTTTAGGACTAAATAATATGAGAATGTACCGCTACTATCGGTGTAGCGATACAATAATCTCACGATACAATATTCTGATCACAATACCAATCAATCAATCAATCAATCAAATTTTATTTGTATAGCACATTTCAGCTACAAGGCATTTCAAAGTGCTTTACATCATAAACACAAAACACAAAGGCATGCAACATAGAATAAAATACCAAGGTTTTTTTTTTTTTTTTTCCCTCTTTTTTCCCTTTCTTCCCCCTTCCCTTTGACACGGAATTTAAGCGCCTGTTACCGCCGGACTCCGCCGTCCGTTTAACCACGGGTATTCGCCGGGCCCCTTTGCCCACAACAGGAAAAAAAAAAAAATTACATACATATCCACAAAATCAAATCCATACATATTACATTTCAAATGCAACTCTAAACAGATGCATTTTTACTTGAGATTTGAAGGAAGTCAGGGTTTCCGCTGTTTTACAGTTTTCTGGAAGTTTGTTCCAAATTTTTGGTCCATAGATGCTGAAAGCTGTTTCTCCTCTTTTGGTTCTGGTTCTGGGGATGCAGAGCAGACCAGAACCAGAAGACCTGAGAGGTCTGGAAGGTTGATACAACAACAGCAGATCTTTGATGTATTGTGGTGCTAAACCATTCAGTGATTTGTAAACTAACAACAGTATTTTAAAATCTATTCTTTGAGCTACAGGGAGCCAGTGGAGGGACTTTAAAACTGGTGTTATGTGCTCTATTTTCCTGGTTCTAGTGAGAACGCGAGCAGCAGCATTCTGGATCAGTTGCAGCTGTTTGATTGATTTGTTGGACAGGCCTGTGAAGATGCTGTTGCAATAATCAATGCGACTAAAGACAACGCATGAATGAGTTTCTCTAGATATGGCTGAGACATTAGTCCTCTAATCCTGGATGTTCTTCAGGTGATAGAAGGCCGATTTTGTTACTGTCTTTATGTGGCTCTGGAGGTTCAAGTCTGAGTCCATCACTACTCCCAGGTTTCGGGCCTGATCGCTAGGTTTTAGTTGTAATACCTGAAGCTGTGCATTGACTCTAGATCGTTCCTCGTTAGGTCCAAAAATAATGACTTCAGTTTTTTTTTGTTCAGTTGGAGAAAGTATGATATGTATCACAATATTTGACAAACAGTATGATTCGATGCACTTTTACAATTTTTTGAAAGATTTTAGAAGTACATAGTGATTTTAGTGACATTTTGTGTTCCATAGAATTGGATTGGATTTAATTAACTGAAAACTGATTATAAGTACCAACTACACAATACCTGACTCTGACTAGACAGAGTTTAAAAATCTACAGCTGGACAACATGAATCAAAGATGCAGTGAGAAAATTAGTTTCTGTCATTTAATTCATGTGGATTTGACATAAAACTCCAAGTTTCAACAGTGATCCAAGAGCCAAGTGGGGACTGATACCTGACATTTTTAACTGCATTCTAATTTTTTTCTACCTTTTTAACACTGAAAAAACATAAATATTAAAAAGATGAAAATAAATATCAGTTGTTAGTATCTGCTCAGTTTTACTTATCGGACCAATACCGATATGTTAAAAAATCATCAATATCGGCCAGTGACAACATTTATAGGAATAATATTGAAGAAAAACGTAAGACTTCTGAGTTTCAAAAGACATTTCCTTGTTTTTTTTTTTTTTTTTTTTTTTTTTTTTTTGTTTTTTGAAGGTTCCCAGTTCTCAACCTTTCAAACTGGAAAATTTCCTTGTTTTGTTTTGGGGTTTTTTCTGGAGAATTTCTGAGCTTATTCTTAAAAATGTCAGACTTTTTTTTTTTTCTTTTTGAGAAAATGTACTCCTTTTTTCTACCTACAGTGGCTCTAATATGCCATTATACTCTTTTGTTGGCAGTCCATATATTATTTAACTTATAAATGTTTACATACAAATATGAAAAATAAGAAAATTGTCTAAAAAGGGAAGCTAATATTGGCACAAGATGGTAATATTACTGTTTCTGGCTTTGCATAAAATGAAGTAGAAAATATGACTTGCATACTTAATTGCAGTATCAGGTTGTGTTATTGATTCTCCCTGCTGATAATGTGTGGTTTAAAGCAAAGCCACATTGAAGAGGCAGAGCTAATTGTTCTCCTTACATGGAACAATAAAACTGGAGTGGTAACTTGTCAGAGCAGACTTTTTATTTTTTTTAGTTATATTGAACATTAAAACCATTTATCAAAAATGAGTCATTGTTTTAGTTTCTGCCGGGAAGTGCCTCTGTGGCTGTAACTGTGATTTATCTTTTTTTTGTAAACGGATATGATGAACAGAAAGCAGCTAACTGGGAAAACATTTTCTGAGTTAATGAGGCAGAGATATAACTCAGTAAAAAAGTATTTGCCTCCCAATTTATCAATGAATTGTCAGAATTTTTGATTAACGAAGTTATTTTTTGTTGCATCCTGATCAGATCACCTTCATACCATTGATATAATCCAGTGACTACCAAAGGGTCGACACCTTTTAATATGTTTGGTATGAAATGTCCTTTTTTTTTTTTTTTTTTTTTTTTTTTTTGCAGGTTTACCTGCTAAATCCCATAGAAAACCTAAGAGGCTACATCACCAACCGTCCACCTCTGGTCATTTTTATGATCAGTGTCAGTGCGGTGGCCATTGCCTTCCTGACCATCGGCTATTTCTTCAAAATTAAGGAGATAAAGTCTCCAGAGCTCACAGAGGTATGACAAATCCACACCATTCTTTACAAAACAGTTTACATTTAATTATGGTAAATGTTTCTCTCCAAGTTACTCATTTAGGAGGATAATTCGAGTGAAGTGTATGAAACCTTCAGGGTCTGCATAGGTGCTTGAAATAGTTGAAAATACGTTTTCCAAGTTTTTTTTAAATTAGGTGTTTTCTAAGATTGGAAAGTGCTTGGTCTCTGTATAAAGTCTGGACAGACTTATAACAAAGATTAATCTAACATTTAACTAAAAGCCTGAATTTGGAGAATAAGACAAACACATTTTTCTCTCTGTGAGGTTTAATCAGACTAACTTTTGTTGTTTTAGATCAGTTAGATTTACCAAAATTATTTCTATTTGCTAAAGGCAAGAAAACTGGGTGAGAACACTTAAAGTGATTTCTTTTGTTGTTACTTTGTTTGTATATTGTGTTAAAGCATTTAATTTAATTAGGCAAGTAATTTACTATAGCACGATTTGTTTGCATTGTGTCAGTGTAATGAGTATTTATTTATTCCTAATACTCTCTTATATTTTACATGTTAAGCAGGATTATTTAAATCAAGTTTTGTTTTCTGTTCTTTTTGTTTTCTGTTCTTTTTGTTTTTTGCTAAATTAGCGTTTTGTTAGGTGTGCCTGATATGTCTGAGAGGCATTTCAAAACATAACATTTTATTTTAGTTTTTGTTCTCCCTGATGCAGAAAGTAGGGTACTATCACATCACATATTAACAACAGCAATAAATGCTGTCACATAATGGTGAATTGGAACAGTTTGCTTTAGTTTATTTGTATCATTTTTATCTCCAAAGTGGACCTGGAAAAGTTAGAAAACTTACTTTGAAGTGCTTGAATTTTTCAGTTTAAGTGAACAAAATCTGAACTTTGCCTCATAGACTTTGTAAAACTGTGATTGCAGACTGCAGAAAGTGAACACAAACTCTGATGTTGTGCTGTTCTGTGTTTGAACATCCTCAGCAGAAGCATGCATAAAGGATTTGCATCTCGGCGTAAAGCAGGATGCAAATCTCAACAACTCGGTGCAGAAAACCTCACTTGGTTTAATAAGTTTAGTTTTGTGCCTCAGGACTGGAACACGTTTCTGTTGCGCTTCAACGACCTGGACTTCTGCGTGTCGGAGAACGAGACAATAAAGCACGGCCTGAACGAGTCGACCACCCCGGAGAGCCTGGTGGTGACCAGCGGCCAGGCCCGCTCCAGCACACAGCCCCCCCTGCTGTTGGAGGACTCGGGCCCCATCAACATCTCTGTCTCCATCACCCTCACGCTGGACCCTGTGCGGCCGTTCGGAGGCTACTCCCGCAACATCACCCACCTGTACGCCACAGTGCTGGGGCAGCAGGTCGGCCTATCAGGTGGGTGTGCAGAGATATGAATGGAATTCATTTCTTCTGTCTGGGTTTGTCAGATGACCTTATTTGGATACAGCGAGCCAACAGTAGCTGCATTTCCATTGACCCTATAATTGTGCACTTAATAGAAATGGCAATTTAAAAAAGTTTTTGGAACTAGTATGAGATGGTTTTTTTGGCTGTATTGAAATTTGTGTATTTTGGAAAACTGCTATGGAATCACTTTTTTTTCATCACTCGAGTCACATGATCAACAACCGGACATTCACACTGTAGCAAACCACAAAGACAACGACAGAAAGAGGGAGAAAGATGATGGTGTGGAATGTCTTTAAATGTCTTATCACGTTAACAAATGTGATTTTAATTGCATTCAAAATTGCAACACAGAAATTATGAAATTGTGTTTTTTTTGTCATTTGTGGAATATCAGCATAGTTTTGTGCACATTTTTTACTTACATTTTGTGCTGCAGCATTGTGTAGTGGTGACACAATACTGTCTTTTTTTGGTCCATTTCCCAATAATAAGGAAGCTGCGACCTACTTTTTACTCTTGCGATAGCGATTACAGAGGTTTAAAACCGGCCAATACGATCTGTATAGAAAAACAACTGAATTGACTCAAAATGTTTCTGTTTCTAAACACAGACATGGATATACTGAATAACAAATGTTTTTGATAAATCTGCACCAGTACAGCACACTCAAATGCATCAATTGCTTTACAAGCTTGGTCAAACAACACAAGTTTAATTTGTTCAGTCAGTGCATACAAGTAGAGCAATCAATGTTAAATAAATATTACAGAAACAACAGGTTGACTACCTTGCTCAAACACGTAAAAATGAACAGCAACAAACCTTTCAAATGGTTCAGAAAGTGTAATTAGGAATTCTAAATATCATGTAAAATAAATAAATAAAGCATGACATCACTCAGAGCACAAAGCATAGACTTAGAGTGAACAAATCTGCACTTACAGATCTGGCACATTGTCTCTGACATCTGATCTAGATTTTGTTTCTTTTTCAGAACATTAGTGTCTGATTGGTTCATCTCTAGTTGCTGCTGTAGATTAATACTTTTAAGGTCTTGAGAGTTTCTCAGGCAGCATATGTGGGTCTTTAAGGTCAGGAATCATACGGGTGCTTGAAAACCTTGAAAATACTTGAATTTCAGGATTTGTAAAGTGCTCGATATTCAAAATCATAACGTGCAGTCTAAATTTGGAAAATATTTACAGTTGAAACCAAATATTTAAAAAAAATAAAAAAAATTCAATACATTTGTTTCACCTTCTCAAGGTAAATCAGACTTTTTGTCTTAGGTCAGTTAGTTACCAAAACAATTTATATTTGCTAAATGCCAGAAATTTTAGCAATAATATTTTATAGAAACTTTTTTGTGACTTTCTTATACCAGTCAGGTTTTTTTGGATGTGTGTGATATTTCAAAACAAACATTATAATTAACTTTTTTTTCTTGTCCTTGTTCTAGAATGTAGAATACTAGTACAAGATATTAATAAATTATGTAAACTTTATCTTTAGTTAATTTGTATCATTTGTTTCGACAAAGTGTGATGCTGGAAAAATTTTAATGCTTACCTTGAAATTCCTTGAAAAGTTTTTGAATTTTACCATGGGAAAAGTTAACCTGGTATGATACCTGAGTGAGTGTTTTCACAACTTGTTCATACTGGAAAGAAATGTTTTGTATCTTCGTTTTTCTCTGTTCATAGTTTGTTAGAGTGAAATACTTTAACGTTATGCTGCAGCAGACCTTTTTCCTCAGCCTGGTGTATGTAAACTTCTGGTTTCAACTGTAGATGAATGATTTGGCTTTATCATCTAAAACTCGTTTTAGAACAGATAACCAAAGCAAATAGAAACCCATGCAAATATTTAGCGCAGGTGTGGATTTAATCTAACATCAACAGGATGAGCCTGCTCAGATGGAGGTGGTTTTTCTGGAAAAGGTCAACTTGCTCTCTCTCTTATCAAGTTTGAAACTGGTTTAAATATCACGCGCACTCAGAGTCAAACACATTTTGCAAGCAGGTAGACAAAATCCGCTGTGGGAAAGTGAAGGAATGTGGGAAAATGTAGCGTCTGCAGGCAGAAACTTGAACATGGAGCTGAAACCCTCGAGGCATTTCTGCTGCGGCTGAATTTTTTTTTGAGAGGTGGGGGCTTATCTAGGTTGGTTTTCATATATTTTGATGACTGTCTGGTGGGACCCTGGGTATTTATGATTCTGTTTATTCTCTTAACAGAATCATAAATACCCAGATTCTGTTTATTCTCTAACAAATCTTCTGATTTATGAACTGTAACAACTTAAAAAGCTTGGCAGGTTATCAAATTACTTCTCAGTCGCTCCTCTGTCATATCCTGTAGTCCACCTGATAATCTTCTTAAGTCCTTTTTCCATTAAATAAATCTTGCATAAGCCCACAAACCCAGTCTGTCATTCATTATTAAGGAAGTAGTTTCATAATATTGTTGCTGAAACTCTTAGATTTTCTGCTTCTGCAACTTGCCGCTGCATTAAAAGCAGGTAAAACATTGCTCCTCCAAACCTTTATTGATTGAGTAATCTCTTCAGATGTTGGCATTTAAAGAACGCTCTGCTGTGGTGTCTGTGATTTCAGGCCGGGAAGCCCATGAAGAAATAAACATCACATTCACTCTGCCCTTGTCCTGGAACTCGGATGACTGCGTGCTGCACGGCCACTGTGAGCAGGTGGTGTTCAGCACGTGCATGACCATCACAGCAGCCAGCAATATCTTCCCAGTCACATTGTGAGTTGGACGGTTTCCCACAGTTTGCTCTTAGCCTCTCCTCTGACTGCATATGTGTGCAAAAAAATGCTCGTATTTCTAGATTCTTTTCTATTGCCGTATTTTCCGGACTATAAGTCACTCCGGAGTATAAGTCGCACCCCCGCCCAAACTATTAAAACAACTGCGACTTATAGTCTGGAAAATACGGTTAATAAATCAGAAGTTAAATATCCTATCTACAAATTTCTACGTCACACCTTCCATTTAAATGTACAGTGTTCTATAAAATCAACTTTATTGAGCTGAAAAATAATTTTATTATTGTTACTGCGTTACTCCCTTATCAAAAACATACCTGGAGTGATGCCTACTTTCATGCATTTTTGAGAAATCCTTAAATCTCCATGGCAAGCACTCAGCTCTGCAAAACGCCTGGGTGGATCTAACCCCACCTTTGAGATGCAACTCCTCCCCAGAATTGCAGTTTTCCAAACTTCCACTTCACAGAACGCAACTCCTCCACGAAGCTCCTTCAGACTAGCCAGCAGCATTTAGCAAACAGCTGGCGGAACTGCGTATCTGCTCAGCTACTTCTCTGTGCAATGCTGGTAAAAACATTAAAGAGTTAATAGAGAAGCCACTTTTGACATAAAATCAAAGGTGGAGTTTCAGGAAGTAGGAGTTTTTAAAGAGACAGAGGCCCAATTTCAAGGTGTTAAATTACAAAAGTAAAATTTATTTTAAGTTATATTTGATATATAGCATTTTCATAACAACTGAAGGTATGAATGTTACTTGACTGAATTAGCATTTTTAGAATTGATCAAAAAAAATTTAATTTAGGGGAAACTAAACTTTGAATGTTTTCAAAGTTAGCAAAAGCTACAGTGCTAATCAAAAAATTAGCCCAGCTAACCATGGCTAAGTTGGCTTAGACGACACTGAACACCAAACTCTGTAGAAGCTTTTATTTATTTTGACTTTCAGTTAATGTGTCTTATTTCAGTAATTTACTCTGTAAATTATTTCAATAATTTACTCTGTAAATTACTGAAATAAGACACATTTTGTTTGTTCTCAATTTTCTTAAAGAAAAAAGTGAGAATTGATTTGTTTTAAATTGGATTTGGTATTAAAACAAATTTGAGATTTTATTTTTAAGCCGACCTATGAGTCACAAGTCATTAAGTTGGGGACCTGAGATCCTCTTTAGAAACGAAATGATAAAAATGATCTCATTGAGGCATACTCATGCTATAACTGAAGGATTTGCAGATTTATTAAAATTAAAAAGATCCATGAGTCTCTTCTGTTATTTTATGGGTTTGAAACGTTTGCGTCATGTTTTTTTGCCTCCATCCATCCCTGAGAGTAGGATAAAACGCCACGGTTGCCGTTTCACTCCCACATAACAGCTCGTCTGTGATTTACCAACAGCTTATGGAGTCGTGGTGTTTGATCTCGTCAACAATTCAACACCTGCAAATCCCTCTGTGCAGCTTTAATCTGTCCTTCTGCACAGCAAACAATTACAGCTTTAGTTTGAAATGTGAGAGTGAACCTGTGTCAGACGTAGCACCAGATACGCTGCTGGAAGTTTGTAAAAGCAAAAAAAAAAAAAAAAAAAAAAAGTATAAATGAGTAAATAATGATACAAAATATAGAGACATGCTCCAGGTGGTCAGAAAACAACCTGGAGCAGGGATGTGCTTTCTGAAATTAAACAATAACTGTAGAAACAAACAAAAATAAATAAATGTACAAAAATATTGTAGCTTAGAGTTTATCAGATTTATTGTGATGCCGGGTTGTGTTTTATTCTTTGAGTTGAATACTTTAAAGTAAATTATAATTATTTCACTTTTTATCATTTAAGTGAAGTGTATTTGTTAAAATCTGTTTATTGGCTCAGCAAGATGCTCAGTATCCACTGAATGAACTGCAGTATCAGAATAAATGTCTGCATTCTCCTCCTATAAAAATTCAAATAAAAATGTTTTTTAAAAAAAAAAGGTGTGCATGGAATCCACTCAGACTTCCCAGTTTTTCCCACTTTCTCTTCCTTCAGTTTCTTTTTAAAACTTGATTCATTAATGCCAAGTTAATATTTCATTGTGAAATAATCGCTTCAAAAGTCATCAAATCACATGATTGTGTGCTTTGTGTTTCCCTTTGCAGGCAGCCGCCACACTGCATCCCAGAGACGTACACCAACGCAACGTCCTGGTACAAGGTGTTCACCACGGTCCGTGACTCAGACACCAAGTACAGTCAGGACTACAACCCCTTCTGGTGTTACAAAGGAGCGATCGGCAAAGTGTATCATGCACTCAACCCCAAACTCACCGTCATTGTCCCAGATGTGAGTTCCAGGTTTCCATTTTCAAAGAAACTCAAAAAATATTGTTTTACTTTCTTGGAAGTTGACTATTACAAAAAATAAATATTAAAATCTCAACTGCCTTTTACTTCAGAAATGACAGAAGAGGACGGCTGGTTTATTTAATGCTTATTTTTTCTCTTGGAGAGGCAAATAAGCAGTTGAAAGTTTACCAGACAGGGAGAGAGGTTTTTGATTACATCACATTTTTTAAATTTCCTGGCACCAGCTGACCTTGCCCCATTAGCAGCAGTGTAATAAACACTTGCAAAAATCACAGAAATTCACTGTAAAATCTCCCATCATTACTCATTTTTCTTTCGCTGCTCTGAAAGCCAAGAAAAGCACAGACTTTAGCCAGGATTTATTAAACTTCACAGCTGTGTTTCTGGTGATCCTGCTGTCCTGGTCAGCAGTTCAAGCTTTTCCATTGTGTTCACTGGTCAACAGACACTGGCTCATATTGAGTTTTATGATGGAGTCACTATTTTAGTGTCTATGACGATTGTAATTCCTAAAGAACCTCATTCTTTAGGAATATGGTTGATAACTTGAATAATAACTAAAATTTACAGCTTTCAGATTTTTTTTTTGGAAAACAAATATTTGATGCTAATATTTGGAAATTGCAGGATGTTTTTTTATAACAGTTTACTGGGATACATTTAGAAAAAAAAACATAACCTCAGACAAATCTAAAATAGAAAATATAAATCTTTCAACTTCATCTCTTTGTTTCCAGTTAGAAGGTGAGCAGTTGATTGGTTAGAATGATGAATAGATGACGAGCGGATGGTTGGATGGTTGAACTTGTGCAGGCAGCCTGTGGTAACTCTCTTTATTTTTATTTCATTGGGATTGTCCTGGTGATTGTTCTGTCGTAATGTAAAATGTAATTTACATTACGTCAGCCTGCAATATTATCAATATACCGTTTCCTGAAAGGAGCGCTAGTAAAATATGTAGATTTTTATTTTGCAACTATCTCCCTCAGAGGGAAATTTTAGCAATTTGATCAAAGAGCGAATATTTCTAAACTTTCTGACCTTTAACCTGGACGTTAAACTCTTCTCTTTGCAGGACGACCGCTCCCTCATCAACCTGCATCTGATGCACACTAGCTACTTCCTGTTTGTCATGGTCATCACTATGTTCTGCTATGCAGTCATAAAGGGGCGGCCTGGCAAGGTGCGACAAACCAACCCTGACTTCTGTCCTGAGAAGGTACAACAGACACCAGCAGTGCTTTATGACCTCAACAGGTAGTTTCAGCCAAGCGTCAGCTGACCTCTGATTGGTCCTAAGACACAATAAAATCAAACTGTTGCTTTTCTTCTCATTTCTTCAAACCTTCATGTGAAGCTGCTTATATTACCCACTTTCGTCTGCTTTTAAAAGAGTTTGGGTAGAGTTGTTGTCTATAGCTTTGTTGGAGTGTAATGAAGAAACTTCACTTATTATTTCATTGCCTTTCTCTGTCCTTTTTTCTATTTTTTTTCTGTTTTTGCTTTTTCACTTTTTTTGCCTCTTTTCACATTTTTTTCCTTCTTTCGCCTTTAATTCAGTTTATTTCTTTTCATCTTCATCTTTTTTCTTTTCCTTTTTCTTTTTTTCTCCTATTTTTCCCCTCTCCTTTTTTCCACTTTTTCTTTTTTATATTTTAGTTGCGGTTTTTTTGTTCTGCTTTTTTGTTTTCTGCCTCTTTTTTGTTCAATCTTCTGTGAAGTTGACACTGTCAAACTGTGGACAGACTCTTCTAGACTCTTATCTGGATCCTTTTACTTGTTCCAGCTTCTGCTGGTCATGTTGGCGTCAGGTGAATTTTTAGATTTGTATTCCAGCTTAACATTGAGCATTTGTTGAATTTTTCGTCTTTTAACTATTAAAGACTTTGACAGCTTAATTGTTGCAGATGGATTATAAACTGCAACACATGTCAAATATTTATTTCTACCTCTGAATCAATAATGATAGCCGTGCATGCTTTTTTAGATGGTTTAATGTTACGTCGAGTGCACTTAAGCTGCACACTGCATCGCTGAAAACAGAGCAATCTCATTATTTTTTAATATGTAGTTAAAATAAAATCCTCCAATTGACTTTTAAGAGGAATGCAGTGTGCACCCTTGAATTTAGAGTTTGGCCATTTATTATTTTATAGTCCATTTTATTTCCTCCGAGTCTATCGAGGTGATCCCACTTTTAAAATCTGACAGCTCTACAGCTCATAAAATACACTGTCTGAGATCAAGTCAGGTTTAACACTGAAGACCTTATTTGGTTAATTAACATATTCTTCAATGCCACAACAGTTCAGTTCACAAGAGCAGTAACATATCTCTGCTCTACTAAAAAAGAATGAAAGATTTCATAATATTGAAGGGTTTTTTGTCAGTATTTTGAGTGTTGATTCTTTTTTATAGCTCCTGTTATTTTCTCCGATGTGTTTGAAATCGACTCTTGCATTTTGGGAGGCAACAAAAACTTTTTAGACTCTGATGGAAAAACACTAAATGGAAAAACATTGAAACTGGAAATACACAATTTTTCCCACTGAAAAACTCTCTTCACTGCAACTATAAATTTATAAAAATCTAATTTCTCTCACATAATTATCTCTTAATTTTATACTTTTCTAACACCTGACAAATCAGACCAAACTGAAAATCAAAGAAACTTCTCTGCTTCGTTTTCTGTTGAAAGGTGAACTGACTTGTATTTATTTCTTGTTTTGTTTTTTTGTTGACAGGTGGCGCTGTCAGAGGGTTAAAAAGATGGCAGAAAGCTCTGCCAGAGGTTACCTGTAACATGGACTCAGAGACACAGAAGAAATTAAAAAAAAAATTACATCCCAGTTGCCTAGTGATCCCTGGTAATACATGAAGGGGTACAAACGCTCTGTGAATGCATTACTCTCGCAATGTTGGGGTTTCTCCAACCAAAGATATACAAGTGCCTGTATCTGTGGTGTAAATATTTGTTGGATCTCTTGACCATTCTGTGCAAAACCTCTTTCTTGTTTATTTTTGTTTGGGATAGTTTAACCCCCTTTCCCTCCATGTCCCCGATGTGCCATCCCAGGACCGCTCGATAAACACAGATGAAGGCCGGACTCAGTAACTTTACTGTGAATTTTCCCTAGAGCCGCTTTTAAACTGATCTTAAAAACTTGACGGGTCATTTGAAATGTAGTTGAGTTGTCAGAGGTTCTCTCAGCTCAAACAGCGAGGAGACTGAAAGAAGTCAGAAAAACAATTTCACGCCCTTATTTATTTTACGTCTACAATCTTAAAGAAAATTGCATCCATCATTATATGGGAGGTATCCGATCAGTCCCATCATCTCTGCACAGTTCGGGTTGACAAACAGATTTTACCCAGAAAGCGTTTTTGCCTTATTTTTTCTCCCTTATCACCTATCTGGCTCCCATCTCGCCTCACTTTGTGTAGTTTTTATCAGACATTTTCCCGACTCCACCTGGAAACATAACGCAATAACATCTTGCCTTACCTGTGGTGGACCAGCTGAAATCAGACGAGACCTTCATACCTTCACCAACCAACGTTTATTTTGGTTGTTTTCTGCTGATTATTAGGCCTGCTGTTGCTAAACGACTGCCTGCTTTTCCTTTTCTTTGTTGTTCTATATATAGCTCCAGTGTGTTGTGTATATAGTGACACCCAGTGGCAAAATTCAGAAATTGCAACAAAATGAATTCCCAGAAACTACGTATCAGCGAAAGAGTAATAATTTTTACTTATTTAATTTTTCTCTTGCCCCAAAATGTCACACACTGGAACTCAATATTTAAATCATCCATCAATTATCATTTTTTTGAGCCACCTGAAAGTTCAATTTCACAACAATTGCACATCTTCAGTTTTATTACATATTTGGAGCACCTTCATAAATCTGGCACATTTAGTTATCAACTTCACTTGTAATGTTTATTAAATTTCTCTCAAATTCAAACTGATCTGCATCTGTAAAAAGTGATTCTATTAACTTACTAGCTAGTGCTGTCAAAACGTAAATCCAGATTAAATCAACCGCTTGACGGCATCATTCAGAGGCGGTGGTACATTTATGTCGGGGACTATTTAAAAAAAAAAAAAGCTTGTCAGCACTTAACAGATGTTTTTCTACATAAGGGTTGCTGACCTTTTAGTTGCAACTGCTTCACTGCATTAATACTACCACATATTTATGATTGGACACAAATCCGTTAGACAAAATGTGCAAAACCCCACAGCTGTGTGAATATGCGTGAGTGGGTTTGGGATGTTTGTAGATTAAAAACGTGGCTGTAGACTGACATTCTCTGAAATCTCCTTCATAGAGACTTTTTTTTAGGAACACCTGGAAAAATGTTTTGTTGTTGAGTTGGCCTCATTCTTAGATCAGCTACTGTTATTCAGTATGATCCGGACGCTTATCAGGAACTTTGAGAAATGTCAAAAAAAAATCTGAACAAATTGTGACTTATGTAGAAATGGTGAGCTGTGACTTCTTTCTTTTTTTGTAGGAACATATATCATATCTCCAACTTTAAACATAAAGGAGGTGTAAAAATTCTCATGTAGCCACCAGAGGGTTCTCCTAGTGATATGTGCAATATGGCTCATAGTTTAGATGTTGTAACTATTTATTTGGGGCTTAGATTTCTTTTTGGTAAACTCTCTTGAGAAGATAATGTTACAATGGCAACCGGTGACTCCGCAGTTGTGTGTTTTTTCCTCAGCTTGCTCAGCATGCAAGTTTTGGGCATAAGCTTCATTGGTTTCCTTCCAAATTTATTGCATTTGTTTTTTAATAATTGTTTTTTTTTTTGTACAATAAGATGCAAACTGTTAATTTAACTGCTATCACGATCTAACCTCCCAACAGTCTCTATGGAGGAGAACAGAGTTATAAGATCTACTGTGTGCCTGCTTGACATGTAATATGGTTTTGTTTCCCTGTCGTGGTTCCCGGTAACTTTGACTTACCTCTGTACTATAATTTTATTTCATATTTAATGTACCTGTTGAATGTACTTTTTTATAAGCAGCGTAATCGAAATCTAAGATGCAACAATTCCAACTGAGTTTAAACTATGATATAATTTGTTTTTCTCTTCATTTCGTTTCAGTTTGAAAGGCTTTACTTGAATCCAGTTTTTGAGTGGTATTTACGTGACATTTACATGTTATAAGATGTATCTTTTTGTGGTGAATTTAATTTTGTGGTATCAGATGCTCTATTTTTGGGGGGGTGGGTTGTGTGTTGGTGAATGGTTGAAAACTGTTTTTGTTTTCTGAACAAAGTCTTCCTGATTCAGATGTATCACAATCTGTTAACTTTATCATCTCATTTTGCTTCCATTGTTGTTGCTTTAAAGTCTGGTAGCTCATTATTGACAGGTGTGATGGATGGAAACTGGGTGTGTGATTGATTGTTGTTGCCAAACTGTCATTATTATCATGTGTAGCCTGAATTTGCCTGCTTCTTTTCCATGTTTGAGTGATTTTCTTTTTGTTTTTTTTTCCATTTGTTTTTTTTTCTTTTTTTTTTTTTTGCTAGAATTGCCTCTTATTTACAGCAGATTGCCTTAACATTGTCCAGTTTTACTTTTCTTTGTTTCACATATTGTAAATCACGCCGGCTTAAGAAACAAATCAAGTGTATACTTAAAGGTTTTTGGGTTTTCAATGCAGTTTTACATGCTCCTCTTACGTTGTACCGTTTCAAAATGATGGTTGCTTTACAAAATAACCTTAAATGCAGTGCTGTCATTCCACTCCCCTATCCTCCCAACACGTTAGCAGCGCTTTTACGCAAGTATTAAGCCAACTCTGTGCCTTCTGCACTGTCCAGCTGCATCCTTCTCCTTGTACATACACTAGATTTAGGATCATAGGTTTCCATGTGGCTAAGGCGTCATTCAAACCCCTATTTCTCTTCAGTGGAACTGCTGTAAATGAATTCAAATTTAAATAAATAAATTGTCTCAAAAGTCCAACAACTTTGTCTCCCTGACTGTCCTTTAATCCAGTTACCTTGCTGCCGTCACGGTTTCTGTGGGAAAATTAATGAGCTGTCGGAATAAATGAAGCAAAAACTGATAAGTTAAAATGTGGTGGAAATATTATGTGCTGGAAGTTGGATGAGTTTTGGAATTAAAAGATAAGAATGAACTGATTGGTTTTTTTTAACATTACATTAAAGGACTAAAGCTGACAATGCTCTTGGAACCAAACTTCCATAATTTTCATTTGATTAAGAATTATGAGTTTTCTGGAGGCCTGTGAAAAAGTATTAAACATTCCCTTCCAGATTTCTTCTCTTTGGTCATGAATGTTTCAGTTTGTCTAACCAACTTTAACATCATGCTGAGATATTGTTGATAAATACTGTCTACATTGGTTGAATGATGAAAAGCTGACCAAACCATCCTGGCACTATGTCAAATATTAAAACTTAAGTGCTTCTCTTTGTTAAATCAAGAATTAACTGAGACTAACCATTTTAATTTACTTCCATAGAACCTGTCTTGACAACATGAAGTAGGCTACAAAGGCTTAGAAAGAGGCCCATTGTTCTGCGATCTAAAGAAATTCAAAGACAGATGAGAAAGAAGAAAATGTTTCAAAAATCCAAAAATTTTAACTTTTTTTTTTTTCTTTCAGAAAATTTTAGATGAATCTCAAAATTTCAGATTTTATTTTTCCTAGAAAATTTGGAACTATTGAAACACAGACATTCATTCCCATGTTCTTTCTCGATTAATCTGAAAATGATTTACTGCCCAATTTGACATTTTGAAATGAAAATAGCTTAGTGGAAACTGAAAGCAATTATTAAAAAAAAAAAAATTCTCATTTTCTGATTAAAAGTTTTGACATCACAGTCGCCTTGTGTAGGAGCCACCAGGTATGTGAGGCCAACATCATGCATTCTCTTGCTCAAAAAACAAGTAAATTTAATTCCTGCTGAGGTAAAATGGGAGTCATTTCTGCAGAGGACTCTGATGTCCATGCATCAGTGGGAGAATTTTAAGATGAGCTCAACAATTAAGTGACACATTAAAAAGCTGTCATCGTTAGTCATTGTCTATTTACTTCTAAGGAAGAGTGGTTTCTGAAACCCACCAGGTATCATCAGCCCTTTTGTGTTAATTTTAAGTCGTCGTGACTCAGACACATGAATTGAAAGTCAGCAGGAATGGAGTGATTAAAATCCAAATATCACACCCTGGAAGAGATTTAAATAATTCCCACAAAGATGAAAAGACACGTGCAAGAGTCTGAAAGCAGTGGTTACCTAACCTGTTGTTATATTTGGCTTCAAGTCCTTGAATCCCCCGTCAAAAATATACTGTGTGAACGAGTTAGAAAAAACACAAAGCCATGAAGCTCATATATTTGCTGTCAATCCGTTCCATAGGTCTGTACATGGGGGCAAAAACTGAACAAAAAATTTTATTTTTTAATTATTTTAGTTTACACAACCAACAACCTACATTGGTGTCTAACTCCAGTTCGAGAGCTACGATCCTGCAACTTTTAGACAAGTCTTCAAATGAACGGCTCATTATCAAGCATATTGGAATAAGATATGTTGGAGTGATGCAATTGTTTCTTTCATTTTTATTATTTATTTTCTATCTTGTCAAGTTCACACTTTGATCATTTCTTACTCTAAAGCAGGCATGTCAAACTCATTTTCGTTTTGGGCCACATCAAGATCATGAAGGCTCTTAAAGGGCCGGTGGTACCAGAATGTGTTGATTAAACCTGTTCACAAATATGTCAATAAGTTCTTAAAATTACATATTATTCAAGATTTTTTCAGTCCCTTCAGGAACTAATAATAAATGTGACTGTTTATTTACTCACTGTATAAATCATGGACTATAATCATACATCAACTAAATTCTCAAGAAACTGGAGGGATTGATTGATATAAGTTGGCAGTAAACAGATAAAAACTTCTTTGATATGATTGATAATATAATATTTAATCACACTTAGGGTTTAGTCTAGTCTGTGGAGGGCCACATAAAACGCTACGGCGGGCCGGATTTGCCCCCCGGGCCTTGAGTTTGACACATGTGCTCTAAAGAGTCAGGCAGTATTTGCCTCTATTTTCTGGATGATCAGAAAATAGGGGTAGAATTTGGCTTACCCAACATGAAAGCCCAGACACTCCATCAACTTCACTGAGAGGGCATATTTAAATGGTTGTCATTTTCACTTAAGATTCAAGAAATACAATATGTCTTTGTTTTTTTTTGTTTGTTTTTTTTGTATGACCAAAACCCAGACATTTATAAATCGTCCCGTCCTGAGTTATTTTGACATGTTTGGTGACATGTTGTGCTAAATCTTGTCTCCCTGTTAAAGAGGCTCCCCATGTGCCGGAAGCGCGCACGTGCAATGCAACCAGGGAGGCAGGGATTTTACCAGAAACCTTAGAACAAAGGCTCTTTGTTTTTAAAGTGAGTAAAAGTTTAAATACAGTTTTTGCGTTCTGCTTAAGAAGAGCTCTGCTAATTCCAAGAAAGTGGAGGCTAGCCAGCTTAAGCTAACACTAGCTAGTCTAAACAGACATGTTGTTTCTTTTTAGCTAATGTTAGCTCAACATTTGTTTTTTTAAATTCTGAATATTCTGAAAGTGGAACATTTTTACCTAATAAGATTAAACGCCATGATTGGCTGTGAAATGGGCCCAAACTGAATATTAAATGATACATTAGACTTTATGTATATTTTCAACCACATTTTTAAGACAAACATTTTCAAATATCTCACACAAGGATATAAAAGTTCCAAACTAATCTTTAAAACGTTATATCATTAACAAATTATCTCTTTTTTTATTTCAATGTCAGCAATTAAACAAAATATTGAATGAAAATAATGAGCTATTTTCATTCACTAATTTAAAAAAAGTTATCAGTTGGTTACCTCATTATCAAATAAGGATAGTCATTTTTAAAAAGGATAATTATTGTCTCGACATATTTAGACGGGTGAGATGCATGTTTCTATTTTCAACACCAGAGGGCAGCAGTATGTTACAAGAATAGAGTGAGATGCAAACACAACACAATAAGAAGCAGGACTCAGGTAATTTTTTTATGTCTGTTTTATACCATGTCATTTTGGGGATTTTCATTTAATCTAAGCATGGAGATTATTTTCTATTCACACATGTAGGTAGAAAAATACTTCAGTCTTTGTTCTTGTAGAGCTAGATGTTTGGAGAATTAATTCAGCTTCAATTACACCCTCTATTCATATGTTAAAAAAATTAGTAATGTCATTGATCTGTTTATAACATCAGCATTGAATTCATGTTTTGGTTCTTGAAGAAGATACATCTCTTAATTTATCTTAACTAAAATCAGTCAAAGTTAAGAGTTGAATTTCAGATGCTGTTGTGAACAGAAATGGTTGAAAAGGTCACCCTCATTGCTTGTCTTATTTAGGCAGGCTCCATGGTGGCCAGGGATGCAGTGTTTTTCTCAGAGTGCTTGTTTAGAGACGATAAATCATATTTTTTCCAGAAGTGACATGCTTGGATTATTAGCACTCAGTTGAATAAAAATAACTGGATGCATGTCTCCAGTGGACTTTTCTTTTCTTGGTGTCTTATCTTATGCAATCATTGCTTACTTAAAATAAAACGACAGATAGTAAATTCCACATACCCTGTGGTAACAGTTTTTCATAATTCATATTACATGCTTATCCACTGTTAAACGTAATATTTCTTTTGAACAAATGACGTTGTTGTTTTTGGCAGGAAAACTTTAGAAGGTTCTCTGCTGGAACCAGCTTGTCTCATTGTTTGCACTACATACTTGTGTTGAGTATAAATGCTTACCTGAAATAATTTAATTTATAAGCTAATTAATTTTTTAATAAATAAAAGAAGTAATTTAACCTGTAGCCTTTTGCTTCTCTGACGTCAGCGTCTTTTTTTGTTTTTGTTTATGCACTTCAACTCTGAGCCATCAGCATCCAGAATGAAATTGCTGTTGCGCATCATTTCCTCCTGATAAACAATGTCACCGTGCTGTTTGTATTTTCAGCGCAGTCCAATTCAGTGAGCAAATCATCTCCTCTGCTCACATTTCACATCAGACCGAACCATCTGAAAAAATTACCATTTATTTCAATGTGGTCATTATTTTAATGTTCATTTTATGAAGATCTGGTTCAGTTTGTAAAAACAGATCAGCCTTTGCTGAACAATCAATCGCTGCTCTCAACATCAGTTGGTATTGCAGTGATCTCATATTTCCATACTTTTATACTGTAACCTTGGTAGATAATTTTATAGCAACTAAAAGCTTTACTGATTGCTTATTCTATTGATTATTCTGACGATTGATCGTATAAAAAAAGTTTCAATATATGCAGATTTTTCCAGTTAACCACTTAAGCTTATTTCATGCAATGTTAATATATAAAAAGTAAAAATATACAAATTATTTTGTAATTTTTTAAAATAAGAAAATAAACATTTGTTGCCTACAATCCAACACCATGTCCTTCCTTTAGTGAAGGGGCTGCTTGATTATTTGTTGCAAAGGATGCATTTGCAGCTAAAAAAAAAAAAGAACTTACTAATAACATTAGCCCTGTCTGCTTGGCACATCTGTTAAATTATTTATTAATTTTTTTATGTTTTTACATTTTAAAAAAGATTATACTTTTTTTTGATAAACAAATTAATAATTGGATAGGAAAAAGTGCCTTTTTAAACTTTATTTATTTTTTCTACCAAATTTTGGACATTTCAAACTTAGAAATGTCCTTGTTTCCCCCAGAACATTTCAGTTTTTTGGCAGAAATGTACTTCTTTTATATCTTGTCTACAATGGCAAATTATAAGGTTTCTCCCGTATACATTTTTGGGTGGAAAACCTTTTTTAATCAAAAGTACATCATCCGAGTTGACAGTAAATTGGTGAAATCTATATTTGCTGCTAACAGCAAACACAAGATGGCGTTG